CCGTCTTAGATCCATCACGCTGTTCCTGACGGACCTGTTGCAGGCTGTTGAGCAGCACAGCCTCGATCTGCTCCTGGCAGGCCTTGAGACAATCCTGAGAGGAAAGGGGTCCAGACCAGAGCTATTAGGAGGATKAACAGGGCACGGGGCATGATTTCAGGAAGGCACACACAATTCAACTCACATCACTCCAGGCTCGTTTTCCAGTACAAGTGAATGAGAGATGCTCGTGAAATTCCATGGAACCTCAGATCTCCAAGCAGGGAACTGGCTGGAAATGCACATCCCCCTCAACCCAGACCAAGCTAATCACGACCTACAGGAGCCTGCGTGATTCCAATCCTGAGAAGCACTGGCCTAAGATGATGGTCCATTCATAGAAGGGCATCGGTTGGTCATCAAAGGACCAAGTGGGAAATCTAGATGCTTTCTACCTAGGGAAGTTGGGAGGCGGCAGAAGCCCACCAGCAGTGCTGTTATTAGCACTGCAATTAGTTTCTCGGTAACTGAGAAACAGATCAGAAGGGAAGCTGGGAGACTGCACTGTCCTGACCCTCACATAAACTGTGTAAGTGCTTAAAAGCAAAACGAAACACAAAAATCCTGGATTTTCTGCTTATTTACCATTCCCTTAAGGCTAACAAAAATACAATACAGAATGTTTACAAAATTCAGGACACTTGAGCTTGTCCAATTTGGGAATAAGCAAGAATTTGCAGAGTTGTTTTTATTAGTCTATATTTGGTAGGGAAAATCTAGAGTGAGTCCGTCCAAGCAGAAGCTTTAATAGCTGGGCAACATGGAATGCAAGGGCCAGTCACGGCTGTCACTAGGAAGGGAGTGTGGTTAGTAATACTAGCTGGGGTGTGAGCTGAAGAAACTGCTCTTGGCAGTTATTTTCCAGCCTCTTTCCCCTGCAAGACTGCCTCTCTGTGTTTTCTGAAGCAGCACGCGTGTATAGAAAATACCCTCAACTGCACGTCCTCATGTCTTTCCACGGTTTAACACACACATCCCTTTTGTCTGTTTCCCTGTGCCATTTTCGCCACCTAGAGGTTGCTATTTTGCCAAACACAAAAGCATTATCATTTTTTTCCCCCCAGAATATCTAAAGTAAAGCTGGAATCCAATACTGAGGAACAAAGTTTCCATTATGCCTCAACTTTCCTTTCCTATCTCTCATCAATTCCACATTTCAAACTGCAGCTTTTTAATAAAACTTTTTTTAAAAAATAAAGACAAGGAGGGCAGAGGGCAGAGATGCGATATCACCCAGAATGCAACAATTAGGGCCCGATGAAGGGTAATTTGTAGGCAATGGTCACGTTATTTAACTACTCTGATTTCAATCTCTCCATCTGTCAAATCAGAATGACGAAATGCTCAAAGCAAAACAGCAACTGAGGTAATATATATATGAAGTGCTAAGTAGCAGTCCAATAAATGAATACTATTTATTCTGCATAACAGTGAATCAGTCCTGGAATCTGAAAGAATGCTCCCTCCTCTTCCTTTTTGAGATAGGGCATCACTAAGTTGCTGAAGGTCTTGTTAAATTGCTGAGGCTGGCTCCTAACTTGTGATCCTCCTGCCTCAGACTCCCAAGTCCCTGGGATTACAGGCATGTGCCACCATGTCCAGCTCCCTTTTTTTCTCTGAACAAGGCCTCACTGTGTGGCCCAGGTTGGCCTCCAGCTTGTGGTCCTCCTGCCTCGGTCTCCTAAGTAGCTAGGATTAAAGGAGCATACCATGTCCAGCCTAGATTTCTTTAAAATGAGGTGTGGATTAGCATTTACTCAAGACTGGCTCAGGATGTGCTCAGAACAGATGGGGCTGAACTAGGCCAATGTGGCCTGACTGTGGGGCTTGCTGTGCATGCTCAAAGCTGAGAAGGCATCAGGAACTGGCACCAAGGATCTAATCTCTCTTACCTTCTCTGTAAGGTAATCTTACATCTCCCAGTCCCATTCTCTACCCTGCCTGACCCCCTTCACTAGTGGTTGGGAATCTGGGTGTCACGGGCCCCCTGTTGAGCTCTTCACTGTGTTCCTTCCCCAAGGCTCATCCAGCAGCCCTGAGTCCACAGGTCATGACTTGCTCAGTGGAAAAGACTAAAAGCATGTTTCTAGGGGTACTTGCATTTCAGCAGAAGGAATCTGAAAATGTTAAAGTCTTATGATCTAAAAATGATCATCTCAAATGAAGAATCAAAGCTAACATGAGGGCTAGCATAAGGTCAAAACTACAGTGGGATGTGCCTCAGGAAGGTCGTCCGACACTACAATGGGTGAGTGCAACACCATTAGTTCTTCTTCTGGAGCTGAAATAGATAGTTCTTGCTCCATCTGAGCACCCCAGGAAGGAGCTGATTCGTGCTTTGAGGTCAGGCTGCATGGCAACACCTCTTCAAACCCTCAGATCATGGTTAGAGGGGATGTTCACCCCCAGCAGTATGAGCTGGGGCTGAGACCTCAGACCAGCAGCATCCCATCTCACATCTCACCAGCCCCCTTTCTGTGCACGGTATTATTTTTTTCTTCCTCTCTTTCTTCCTTGTATAGAATAATCAGTTGAATCTGGGAAGTTAGTGTGTGATGTTCCTTCACTGTGCAGGTACTCCAGGAAATGGCAAAGGGGGTGTTTTAAAAATGTTTTTTTCTAGCCAGCCGTGGTAGTGCTAGATGTGGTGGCACATGCTCACCCGAAACAAAGCCTCAAAGCTTTTGTTATCTAAAGAAGATGGCAGGATTCTCAGAGGATTTAAAGCCTGTGTGTGTGTCTGAGAGAGAGAGAGAGAGAGAGAATGAGAATGAGAATGTTGCAGTGGTGTTATTACCTGCAACTGGACATCACATCCCATAAGCCCCATTCTTGCCCAAAGCAGGACAGGAGAAGGCATGGGATGGGGTGGGGGAGGTGGTGATCAGGAGGAAGAACCCTGTCCCTAATCCAGCCATACTGCTCCTGCTGGGAGGCCAACCTGAGTACAGTTAGTGTTTCCAAAGGGGAGGATTCTCAGATGACTTACTAAAGCCAGCTCCAGCAAAAGTGAGGCGCTAAGCAACTCAGTGAGACCCTGTCTCTAAGTAAAATACAAAACAGGGCTGGGGATGTGGCTCAGTGGTTGAGTGCCCCTGGGTTCAATTCCTGCGCCCCCCCCCCACCAAAAAATCATAGAACTGGAGAATTTGGAGGTTCTAGTGGTTCTTGGAAAGCAAACGGGCAGGGAATTGTCCAGCCAGGGAACCAAAGCCTGGAGAGGTGAAGTGGCTTGCCCTGTGGTGACACCAAGTGAGTCTGGCTTTAATCAGGGCCAGCCTCCAATTCCAGTGTATTCTTCCTAGACTTTGGTTTCTTCTGGGCTCTCAGTAAGGACAAATATGCCAGAGAACCTCCAGGAAAGGGAGACATAGCCCAAGGGAGGATGGCGACAGTGCCTCCAACAAAAAGATGCTCCGTGCTTGTGAGGTGCCGCGGCTCTGGGATCTCAGCTTTGTGGCGGCCTCCAGAAGCACCAGCCATCGTACTGATGCCCCAAATTAAGCTGATTAAAAGGAAAGCCATAATGCTCGTCTGTCAGCCTGGACAGGTGGCACTCCACAGCGCTGGAGGTCGGGCACCCCTCCAACTCCTCCGATGATAGGCCCCCTCCCCCGGCCCTCTCCCTCGCGCCTGCCCCCAGCCCCCAGCCCCGGAGCCCTGACAGCAGCGTTTGTGATCTCCAGCTCGTTACACGGGCCTCTGACTTCCTCTGCTTGCTGGCTCGAGCTCCGTGCCCTGCACCCTCCTCTGCTTCCATGAATGGGCTGACGGAACTCCTACCACTAGCCCTCAGTGGAACTGCATCACTCCATTGTCACCACACACGCACTGCACTCAACAGGGGGACAAAGGGCTGAATGAGCCCCAGACCCATGGCCAACTCAGGCAGAGACAACTTAGGAAACTATCTCATTCTTCCTTTCTTCACAGGCTGTTTGGCTTATTTCCTTGCATACCAAATGAGGCCCGCAGAGAAATGAGGCGGGGCGGCAGGCAGAGGCCCCCAGCTTGCCCTCCAGCAACTCCTCACAAGGCTCCTGACCACGGGCTCTCTACAGCCCACAAAAGGCACCGTCCAGGGGAGAGGCCTTGGAACAAGGTGCGCTCTGAGCTCCTCCCCCAAGGGGAGGAGGAAACCTCGAAGTCACAGGGGGAGACTTCCTGTCGCTGCAGGCCCATGGCTTTTTAATTGCTCACTGACAATCAGGGTCTTCAAATGCCAGGATGACCCCAAGGAAGGGACATGCTGGAACCTTCTCTGGGCAGGATTGAAGAATGTGACAAAGAGTTTTGATGTAACGGAGACAGAAGAGGGTAAATGTCATGGCCAGACGATTAGAGTCTGTAGCTGTTCTGATCAACATCTCCCAGTCATCTCACATCTCCATAGCAGGGGAGCCTCCCTGCCACTCTTGAATGAAGGAATGAATGTGTGCCATTTGGTGTGAAAACTAAGTGACGTGCTCTGAGATAGTCAGGTAATGTTCAGAGGACCCAGACTTGTAGCACACCAATATCTAATCACAGTCTCCATGTTACGTCTCTCTGTTTCTTTCTGAAAGACCCAGGGACACCAATGAATGAGAAACATGCTTGAAATGCATCTGCCTCCCTTTTGTCCTTCACTCCTTCCTTCCTTCCTCCTTCCCTCCCTCTCTCTCTAGCATCACTCCCCAATGACTCTGCCAGGGGCTCTGGATAAAGAGCTGAGTACAAGTTGGGTCTTATTCAAGAAGTCCTATAGACAAGGGGACGGTGAGGTAAACGCTGGCACCAAGTGCAAGCACAGTGCCCAGGGGACGGAAGAGGGACCCCGGTTCTGCGGGGGCCCAGGATGGTGGATCCCTCTTCTCAAGCTTACCCTTGGCAACAAGAGCCTCAGCAGAAGTTCCCCCCGAAACGCCAGCCTCGCTCGCTCGCTGGGGTCTGTTTTTAGCAACTCTTATAACTGGAAGGGAAAAGTACTTAAAATATACCACCCTCTGAGACTTTCCTTCCCTGTAAAACTGTCAGGCTTCTCACTCAGCTTTCTCTCTGGAATGGAGCGTTCCGGTTTATTTTAGCAACCAGATGGAGCAACAAAGACCCGTTTCCTCAGAGCTGCGTGGGTCCCTCCTAACCAAGTTAACTGCCGCTGGCCAGTGGCAGAGAAACTTGTCTGGCCACTTCGGATGAATCAGGGGGACCCACTTTCAAAAGTCTGTTTCCTGGAAAATTTGTGGCCTATCTCCCAAAGTGAGAGCAAACTCTGTAAGTTTGAAAGGATCCTAAATCACAAGGTGCATGGGGAGTACTGGCCTTGGGGGGGTGGGGGGTCAGGTGGCAGCTCTTCCTGAGTTATGTGCTTGTGTACTAGGGGACAAGGGGTGGTCCAGGGTGAACATGGACAGCTCAACACGTCTTCAGAGCACGTCTTAGGTTGTCTCACACACACACACACACACACACACACACACACACACACACACTGTGCATGTGCTATGTACATATACAAATTATTGTGGCAAAATCCACATAACAAAAAATTGACCGTTTTAGACATTTTTCATCATATATGGGCATGAAGTACAGCTGTGCCATCACCAGAATGCTCCATCTCCAGAACTTGTTCAACATCCCAAACTGAGACTCTCTACCCATTAAATCCTAACTCCCCATTCTCCTCTCCCCGCAGGTCCTCAATTTTTACTTCTATCTAGGAATTTGATTCTTCCAGGTCCCTCATGCAGTGTTTCTTCTGTGCCTGGCTTATTTTACTTATCGGAATACTTTCAAGGCCCACACACATCGGAGCATATTATCAGAAGGCCATTTCTTTTTAAAGGCTGAATGATATTCCACTGCCTGTCCATACCACATTTTGCACTTGCATTTCAAAGACATTTTCTGTCACCAACTTCATACAGCTAAGAGGCCTGCATTTCTGCATTAGGGCTCCTGAGTTCCTTCCTCTGAATTGCTGCCCTACTGCATTTATGGTTCTTAACACACGTTTGGCACACATTCCTCTCAAATCTTGACTGGGAAGGGTTTTGCATACTGTCCTTTTTTGATTCTCTGTATAATCGCTAAGTTCCTTGAAAACCGGAACGTGATCATCTATTTTCCAGGCACCATTCACACACCTGCCCCCAACTTCTAGCACGGTGCCTGGGGACCATGCCATGCTCATCTCTATACAGCCTGCAACAACTGGGCCTTCACTGAACCCTTCCAGAAATGAATGGACAGGAAGTGCTCGAAATACACCACTTCTTCATTCATGGCAAACAGAGCTCAGGAAGCAGAACTCACCTCCCTCCAAATGCTAATGCGTTCTAAATTCTAGTCCTTTCATTCTCCTTCACTCTGAACTTCAGCTCTTCAGAGAACACAAGCTGATGGATGGGAGGAGCACTGAGCACTCAGGAAGCTGCTCATACACAGTGCCCCAGCCCAGTGCCCAAAGCCCTAACCTTCCCACTGAAACACCCCTAGGGAGAGAGTGAGCAAGCCACTGGGAGCCAGAGGGAAGCTTAGAATGTTAGAAGTCTCAAATTTTTATCTGAACTAATGGTGCAAATTTTACATTCTATTAATGAAGTTCATGCTTGGTTTTTAATATTAAAACGTTAATCCCCAGTCCCACTGTGGAAAACAAGGCAGGGGCATGCAGCCCCAGTTAAGAAACCCGGCACAGGCCCTTTCCAGAGATGGAGTGCCAACTCCATGCCGTGATTTACAGGACAGCTAAGAAGGCCTTGCAGGCATGCAGCCCAGCCTGAGGGCTGACTGGAATGGACCGGTTGCATGGTATCTGGAAATGGCAGAGCTTCCCCAATATGATGACATGGCAGACTGGTTTGCAGTCACAAAAAGAAGACACCACCCAAGAGCCTCAGTGGCAGTCCCCAGGAGTGACTTCTGTCCAGGTGACTCACAAGGAGAGATGTGGGAAAAGACCTGGGACGGGTGGGGGGGGGTCAGCCTATCAGAGCCAGTCTATAAATATCTGAAGGAGGTGACAATGCCTGGGAGTCAGACTCCTGCCCTGGACAGTTTTGTCTCAGGGCGCTGAGGAGAGGCTGGTCTTCCATAGTTGGAAGTCCTAGACGACCTGAGCAGGAGACATTCAGAAAAGAAAGGAAGTGGGTCATTTCTAGAAACGTGAAGTTCTAAGTTCTGTCCACGATTTTTCTCTGGGGGATACAAGAGCGCCCTTCACCCTGCACTGGAGGGCTCTTTGCAATCCAGATCTTACAGGTTTTGGAGCTAGCATCTTAAAAAGAATACTTAAAAATCGGTTCAGACAAGGACCTAGGGTTTGATCCTTCGGGCCCTTCCCTACCCGCCATTTTCTTGGGAGCTGGCAAAAACAAATGCCAAAGCCAAATACAGGTGGGTGGGTCAGAAAGCCAGCAAGCTGCAGCCTTGGGCTCCAGGAGGTTTAACCTTGTGCTCAGTGTCCCTTGTGGAGGCAACAGTCACAGGCCTGTCGATCACATGACTTAACTCAATGCATTCCCACACGGGGCCTTCTGAATTCCCCTAGAACATCCGGAGGGTGTCATCGTGAAGTTCCCCTGCATTCCTGAGCCTCTCCATGGTGATGCACAAGGGCCTCGGAGCCAACACCCCTCGCTCCAGTTGCCTTTCAACCAAAGACCTTTTTCAAACAACAAGATCACAGGAGCTGCCGCAGGGGCGGAGCCTGAGAGCTGGAGCCAGGGCTCGGAGGTTGGGCCCCCCAGGTCGGTCACTGCCTCCCCTGCCTCTGGGCCCTCTCGGAACCCTCCTGTCTCGACCCTCCAGGACTGTAATTTCCTTGCCGTTGAAATCAGGGCCTTACTGAACCCTGGTCTGTCTCAAACCCTTTCTTCTAAGGAGTTCCCAACTCTGGCAGCTAGAAGCAACAGCCTCTGGGCTGTCCACACAGAAAGGAAAGATGCCTATAGCTAATAATAGTTTGTTTAATGTGTACAGCACTTTGTCTTTTCAGAGTGCCTTTTAAGCCGTTACTATATTGCACAAAAGGGAAGTAAGAGATGGGAGTGGGGGAGGTTTGTCAGGGCTGGACGCCATTCTCGCAGGGACGCCTCCCGTGCCCTGGCTCTAGCTGGGCCTTCTCCCTGTGTCTCGCCATCTCAGTGCGTGTGAGCAGCCAGGAAGCTCTCCACTGCTCAGTGAGGCGGCCAGACACCGTGGACATAAATGGAAATGAAGTAGCAATTCAGACACTGAGAAGCCCACACCATGAAAAAATTTAGATAACAACCTTCCCCTAGTCTCAGCTTGCTGAGTTCTTCTTGTCTGGATTTTATGGCAAGTGGTGTTTCCAAACCTCAAGGGACCTCACCTGCTGTATTTCATATGACCTTAACTGATGATCTCAGAAAACAGATCATCCCTATCCTGCACACACACACACACACACACACACACACACACACAACCCACTATAATCAAACCAATGGCCTCTTTACAGGGGCTGAGACACCCGGTCTTAACCCAGCAGGCAGCCACCACCTACCACATCTGTGTTGGTGATCTTGGCCAGCAGCTCAGTCAGGGCATCACAAGTCAGAGAGCTCACTTCCTCATCCTGCTGGAGTCCACAGATGGCTGCTCCCACACTTCCAGTTGCGATCATCGATGGCGGATACATGGCGAACTTAAAGTCTGCAAGAGACGAGGGGCCACAGGTCAGGGCACAGAAAGACCCAGGAGCTTGCAAGCCGGAGCTGGAAAGCCAGCTGCACAAGTGGCCCCTGGTCCAAGGCACATTCTCCCTCAGCTCCTCCCTTCACAGCAAGCCCTCTGTCTGTCACAGAATGGCTATTCCTGATTTTAGATGGGAGACTGAGGCAGGGAAGGACGAGAGCCCATCTGAGTGCACCCAGCCAATCAAAGAGGGCTCCCCGTCCCTGGCCCCGAGTCCCATGATCTCATGTGCAAGGTATTATTCTTGGYCCTGGTGGGGGCCTCAAGGTGAATGAGACATGATTTCCTCTAGAGGGTGATGGTGGAACAGAGCCCAAGAGGTCTGGGACTGCAGAAAATTACCCCATGTGCCCTACAGGTGGGACAAACCAAGGGCTCTCCATGTTGGAAGGAGGACCAAGAAACAGGTGGGAGAATCAGGCCAACTTTTATGAAGAATGACAGTCCTGTTGTGATCTTACCATCTCGCTAATATGGTAATAAAAACCAAAAGATTAGCTTATAAATACAAGTAAACAAAGTGAGAGAAGCAGCTATGCAGAAGATGGGGTGCATGGTGGCTGAGTTTCACACAGTTCTCAACTTCTAGCCCCACAACAAGGATCCTTGGGACAACAGGACAGAGGACTTGAATCAAGCAGCCAAGATTAACCGCTGCATCCCAGTTAAACCCCCTCTACTTTTGGCTCTCCAAGAGCATAGTCAGAGGATGATTCTATACCCCAGCGGGGCCAGCCTGGGACTCCAGGCACTCATTGTCCCCTTGGTACTCCCTCAGCGAGCTAGGTGACTATGATCTAATAGCAGGTCAGTCCATCAAGGGGACCTGACAAGAGCTGCTGCCTGTTACAGCTACCAATACCACCCACAATACCTTCCACATCTTTCCTGTTTAATTCACGCATCAACCATAAAAGGTGCACAGAGGTATAACCCTAATGCTAAGACTTAACATTGCCCTACCCTTGACTTATGGTGTTAGAGATTATAGTTTGATTACTCAGTCCTGGATTGGCACAAACCTTCCAGTGGGCCGTCTCCAGCTAGCAGTGAACTTACTGTATGCAGAAGTAAAGGTGCATGTGGGGTGGGGGCGCAGAGCAGAGGGGAAGATGAGTCACACTGTATTGCCCATATCAAAGCCCATGTCTCCCTAGTATTTCCCCTTCTCCCCGTACAATGCTCCATTGTAAAAGCATATTCTATGGAAGCACTTTTAGTGGGGAGCCCACTGCCACAATATCAAGTCTGTACTCTTAGACACACTGGGGATCAATGAACCATGCACATACTTCCCCTCCCATTTCGGCTGAATCCCAGGAACACCATGCTAGCCTGGTGGTAAGTCTGTCTCTCTCCCTGGCTCTCTTTCCTTTGCCATTACCATTCACACCCTGAGGGCCCTATATTATGGTGTTGCACCCAGCGCCTACTGTCTGCCAACTCTGCCTGTGCCTTCTCTTATGTCCATGGATGGTGTAACTAAAGCCAGCCTCCCTGCCTCCTGCTCTGCTGTAGGTCTCTTCCACGTGGGTCACAGGAGAGTGTTTCTCTGCCCAATAACCTCGTTAGCTTCCCCCTGTGACATTCACAACACAGAGGAGGCAGCCGGCCAGTGGCCCTCTGCCCATAGAGGCCCTGGGTGAGAGCATCTGGCAGGGACGGGGCAGGGAAATATCCCTGGCCCTCTCTTCCCTCTGCCACAGGCCACAGACCAGGAAGCACACACATTCGTGCCTATGTTTGTTGTCCCACTGCTAAGAAAACCCGTTACTGTTAAGCACATGAAGCCATCAAGGATATGTGAATTGTCCTGGGCTTCAACAGGTGCAAGACCTACACAGGGGACTCTACGTTCAGTGCTAAGGGGAGTCCTCCTGGGAACAGTGCCTGATGGAGTCTTTAACAATGTGTTCTCACCATTCCAGGCAGCATGGATGACTCCCCAAAACGTAAAACACTGCTTGTGCTCTAAAGAAAACACCAGTTTCTTAAACTTGGGCACCAGCTCTTTACACAGCAATACAAAACAACATGGGGCTTTACAAATGGCTAGGTATGTACTCCAGGGAAATGTCTAAAGCCACTTTTCTCATCCGCAAATAAGGATAACAATTATACCTACCTCGAAGTGTTGTTCTGAGGATCAATTAAAATAGCCCATGGAAAGCACAGTGGTAAGCCTCCATCTCAATATCACCTGCACTGTTCCTGCTCTTGGAACTTTCTGTGGGGTTGTGAGGGGCTGTCTGGCTGCTGCAGTCTATCAAGCATCTCATGGAGTAGGGAGAAAGGCATCCTAGGGTTGCAGGCAGATGCAGAGAGCAGGCCAGGCATGATGAGGGCCAGAAAGAATAAGGGCTCTGTGCTTCCCAGAGAATCTTTCACTATCCAGTTGAGTGTGTGTCCCGGAAATGACCTCATCAAGCTCCCAAAGCCTCTTACTGCTTTGTCGGGAGTGGCAAAAACTAAGGCCCCACAGGGGAATGGAAAGAGCCTATGATGAATGAAAGACTTAAGTTGGCAACTCTATTTCCAACACATTCCACATTCATTTCAGTGTTGGTCACCAGGAGCCAAGGGGCAATGCCCGCATATGAGGAGCATCGGACTTTACCTCTTCCCTCTTGGTGACGGGGCAGAGGCAAAGGACACAGATTAAAGAAACCCTGGTTCTGCAGACAAGCACTAAGGGCTGCTTCTCATGCTGATGGTGGTGATGGTGACACATCAATAAAAATGACCTAAAATTCACCAGTTTCAGAAGTCTTCTACAGGTGAGTGGAAACCTTGAGAGGTTAAATGGTTTGTGCAATGTCACTCACTGTAAGAATTGGGCCTTGGATTAAGATGGACATCTTTGGACTCCAGATCCAGGGCCCTGTATAACTTACCAGAAGTTGAATAGCTCCTTGAGTTTATCTCCCGGATTCAGGGTACTTTTATATCAGAAGTGGAAGAAAAGTCCAGAAGAAAGAGTCCTAGCTCAGGAGTCCAGGGACATGGGTCTTAGTCTAGCCATGGTACCTGCAGGCTATGTGATCTCATATACATTGCTTAACCTCCCAAGAGGAGGTTAGCTATAGGAGATACTGGGTTCTTAGGGGTCTCCATAACCTGAACAAGGGCCATGAGAAGTGCTCCATATTCATCAACTTGGCATCTTCACTTCTTGGTAAGATTTCACTGGAGAAAGAGTTCTGAGCTAAAGAGACCAGAGATTCTGTGGTCCTCCTCCCCAGTAAGTTTAGCACCAACTTTAGCTATGGTTGCAAAAAACATCTTGACTGCTATGCTCTTCTTCCCCACTAGGGGGCGAAAGATATTTGTTCTAAGGCTAAGGAGACACAGGAAACCAGGTCTGTTTTCCCCCCTCCTTCCTCCCCACCTCCTCCAACCTGCAGCCAGGTGGAAGTTTAAAGGGCCAGAACCCAGGGTACTCATTGGTCAACCAAAAATACCAATGACGTCATCCGGCACACAGTCATCTGCCACCCCCAGAGTTCAGCACACCCTGTCCTGGTGGGGCAGGACTGTCAAGACAAAATAACTAATTATGACAATTTCACCCCAAAGCCCTAGATGGGAGGAGGAGGAGAGAGGGCGAGAAGCACTCACTCATCTTACAGCCAGATGGGAAGTGAGATAGTCAGTGTCACACTTCTGTCCCACTTTTGTCCCCACGGGGGTGTGCTTACAGAAGAACTGAGACTCCCAGTTCAGCATGCCACTTCCTCTCAGCCCTGTGACCTCTCCACTGTGGAGGCAGTTCAGAGGCTCAGGATGGAAAGGTGAGTTTCAATTCTTTCTTCTTGGCCACCATTGAGGCAGATCTCCCATTCTGGATCAAGGGCCAAGTCACTGAACTTGTTTGCTGGGTCACCCCAGCCTGGCCACAACTTGGGGAAAGAAACTAATGAAGCATCTTTAGTTAAGACTGGGAAGATTCGGAAAGCACGATGGATTATCATTATCACCGAGGCTTAGACCTTGGGAAGGCCTTGGAGGGGCTAAACTCCTAGATGCAACTCCTTAAGGTAGGCTCCTAGTGCAAAAAGAGGGGGATGCAGGGTCCCTGGGGAGGCAGTGACCTCCTCCCTTGCACCAAGTTCAAACTCAATGCCATTGGCTCTTCCAGACTCACTGGGACTGTCTGTTGAGCATGATATGTGGGAAGAATCTCCCAATACCTAAGTGCTATCCTTCTTCTTTCCTCGATTGCTGACCGGGGAGATCTGACATCAGAACTCCCCAGCGGAACTAGGGCTCAGTTCTGCTCACTCAGTTCCAAAAGCTCCAGGAAGAGAGAATGCAATGCCAGGAGCAAGAGTTAGGAAGACCCCCTCACTCCCTGCCATGACTTCCGCTGACCAGGACCAGCCAGGAGAGCGATACCAGGCAGCTTGAGGCTGTCGCTACCCCTAAGTCATTTTGGCCATGCAGGAAAGGGAAGGAGGGCACTTCTCTGCCTCACCACCATCTTACCCCCAGAGTCTGATAAAGGAAGACTGACAACCTGCCACCCTTCCCCGTGGCCCCTGTGTTCTCCTGCGCCCTCTCGTCCCCTTTCACACACACATGCGCTCTCCATGCTCTCTGCAGAACCACTGCCAGCTCTTTCACAACCAACGTTTCCCATAAACTAGCCACACAGTCTGAGGGTTGGCCACCTACCATCTTTCCRGGACACCCCTGTCCCCACATGCAGCCATGGGACCCCAAGACCCTGGCCACAGGTGCTTCATCAGCTCCAAGGCAGAATGTTCGGGATTGGGTGAAAGGGGGGGCATCTGTGAGAGCCTGATGCAGGCTAGCAGCAGCTCAGCCGAGGGGTGTGGTGTCTCCCACCTTTTGTTAGCCTGCTGCATGCCAGGCACAGTTCTGTGTACTCACCCATTTTTCAGACCCTGACTGCAGGATATGGTAGCTCCTCTCCCTGGGAGGGGTTTCCTCCAAGAAAAGCAGCGCTTGGTGTTTACAGACCGTCAGGCCGACTGCCTGCCATACACCTCTATGCAGAGGGGATTCTGTGTGATTCAGTCACTTGCAAACTCAGGGGCAAATCAAGGAACAAGTGCCGAGTGAGATGGGCCCATCCATCCTTTCTATACCTACACCCTCCTTTCTATAGCTTCTGAGGACCTCCCTCCGCTCTGATCTGTCCGTAGCTTAGGACTTGACACATGGTTCTGATTTGGTTGGAGGCACACTTTCTCCGATCCTTCCCCACTCTCTGGCCAAAGCGAGCTCAGGGCCCCCAAAAGGCAGTGTTCATGACACTTCATTTCCCTTTGGACCTCTTTCCTCTGTCCCTGAATCCCAGGCTCCCTATTATGGCCCCAAAATTGGCAGCCACCCCACGGATCTGGGCAAGAAGGCCAAGAGTGGGGGATGGGCTCCCCAATTTTAGAGAATGGGCCTATGGCCTATTCAGAATTTGGGGACCTGCCCATGTTTGGCTAATTCTGCCTAGCACCTCTGCCTGGATCAGACAAGAGATCAGAGAGGAGAAAGGGGTGAACAGATCCCCAAAGATCTGTCAGTCAAGACACAAGGTCAAAGCAGAATTCTGGCTATCAACAGCTGGGCAATGGGGAAGTCTGGGGTCAGGGGTCAGCTGTCCTAGGGCCCGAGAGAAAGGACTAGCTGACCCCTCCCCCACGGAGATTCATGACAAGAGAGGAAGGAGACAGCAGAGCCTGGGAGACAAAATGACAGGTCAACGAGGGACTGACCTTTAGGGCCCACCCTAGACAGCAGGAGACGGAGGAGGCAAAGAAAGGCTGCTGCCCTCCAAAAGGCAGCACTACTGAAAGGGGCTGGTGGGGGCTGCAGGATCTGTCCCCGCTGACTCCACAGGAGCTCAGGGGACATGTGCAATGTTGTGGGGCCTGATTGGGGTCTGCAAGAACAGGACTTAAAGAAAATCAGCAAATCCTGTGCTCTGGATTCAAAAGTAGAATATTTGGACTCTTCCACTCAAGTCAACAAACACAGAACTCATGGGCCCTGCTGGAACCAGAGGAGGGAGGCTGGAGGTGTTAGAGTGACAGATCCACCTTAGCTGGAACAGTTAAAATCAGAGTTAAAAATCAGGGAGGGTGGCATTTTTGGAATTCGTACCTTGGCACATTCTCCTACATGTCTGGTTGCACATACCTCCTTTCTGATTTTTAATTTTCCCAATCACTCTGCAAAAGCTATAGGATGATGTATCAACAGGCACGTTTTGCAGATGAAGTTCAGAGAGGTCAAATAGCCGGTGCAAGGTCACTCAGTGATAAGTAACAAAGCCTGACCTTTTGACTGTGGACAAAGAGCATATACACTATAGCACATTATATAATCATCTGCACAAACTCATGAATAACATGTAACAAGATATTAAGAGGTTCACCCGAAGTTCCACCTATACAATCCAACTAACCCTGGCAAATTGAAGCTGAACCTCTCCAAACATTAGCTCATTACCTAATGTTTCTGATTGTGAAAAATATGAACTCTTGACACCTCTCCCCTGGGTGGTTAAGCTTCCAGGGTCTCCTACCACGGTCACTAGCAAGAAAAAAAAAAAAAAAAAAAAACAGTACAAATGGGCCAAGGGTCAGCTTCATGAGACACCCTCAAACCACTGCCTTTACTTCTATTAGGAAAATATAAAAACTATGTATCGATCAGTGGGATCCCCAGTGTGGATGGAAAAGCCAGCTGCAATTGCTGTGTTAAAGGCCGCAGCCAAAATCCAGAGGCAGGGAGGGCACGAGAACCTAGGCCTCAGAAAGGCTCATTCCCCCACCCAGCAGAGGCAACAGCAATAAATGCCCACAGTGGAAAGGGAAAGAATTCCTTTCGTCTCCCTCGCCACTATCAGCAAAGGCCGCACATTTACCTTGACATTGCTCCTTTAACCTGTACTTGCCCCACCCCCCCAAATTTCCTCTTGGGCTTATCTCCAAGCCATCCTTTTCCTCAAAAGATTAAAGATTTAAACACAACCAGTAAGCAGTATACATAATCTTCAAAGAACACTTTAGACATCATAAAGAACATTTTAACAGGCACCCATTTTTTTCCCCTTACCACACCTGTCATAAACCATTTATGAGTTTAGCCGAGAAAAGAGAATATACCAGCTCCGATAAAGTTAAAGAACAAAGAACAAGAATGAAACCTGGGACTCTGGGTTGCTCAAGACTCCCCGCTCCTGGAAACACCCCAACTGGCATGAAAGTTAGGATCCCCCTGCCCCAGGGCTCTTCTCCCTCCCTGGTTCCCATCTCTGAGCCTGGTCCTTACCGGTGGCACACAGAGCGATGAAAGTCTGGGCATGTTTGCGGATCAGAGACAWCTTCTCCCTCTGCTGGGGCAGCTTGCGTAGGATGTGCTCGATGAAGTCATGAGGGGTGACAGCRGCCAGGTTCCACTTCAATTTGCCCAACACCACCAATTCCCACTCCTGGTGAGGAAGACAGCGAGGACAGCGGAATAAAAACTCCGCAGGCTGATGTGGTGTGTGTGGGAGGGTTGGGGTCCAGACCAGTGTTAATGATGATCGTTAGGATGGGGCTGCTAAGCTGGAAGGGGGTCTGTTTGTCAGGATGCCCCGAGGGCTTTGAAGTTGGGATGGCTCTTCTTTGCTGCTAACGTCAGGCTCTGTTGCCAAGATTCTATTTTCTTGTACTTCTTTTCCTCCCTAGCTCCCCTCACTCCCACCCAATCCTGACTTCCATGAAATGCTGCTGTCTGCCCACCCAGAAAGTTGGGCCTACCCTAAGTTATGGCCAAGGACATTGTAGCCCTTTGGGAATAATTTACTGCACATCTCTATCGCTGGATTGATAGTCTTTTAAATCCTCATGGAAAAAATGATGCCAGAAGATATAACGTAAAATAGGCTTCCTTGGCCCAACTCTTTGGCGACCATTTAGCTGGCTTTTACCTGGTGCTAAAAAGTTTTGTTTCTTTCTTTGCTGGTTTAAAAAAAAAAAAATTCCCCTTTGACACATCACACAGAAAACTTGGGGATATGACATTCGGTCCTTTCACCTAAATGTTGCACAGGTCTTTGCCCCTGTGGCTAATGGTCATTTGAAATCCCATTTTGCAGATGGAGGTAATGTGGGACAAGGGCGGAGGTGTCTATCAGGGTCACAGAACCCCTAAGCCAAGTTCAGGGACAATGGAAACAAACCTATCCATTCTGGGCCTCTCACCAGCAGCCCAGCTAATGAAAAATCCTGTGACTCTTCAAGATACATATGGGAAATTGTGCTCAAAAGGAAATAAGCGCAAACCAAAACTTAAAAAAAAAAATGTGTAGTCAGAGGGAAAATATGCCTATCAGTCATATTCAGAAGAATGAAGGGCAGGGACCACCTCCCCAGTGCACGGCTCTCTCCTTTACTCTGAGTACACCGAATTTCTTGCATTCGTTAGGCCCAGGAATAGATGCTGAATCACAGCACCAACTGGCCATGTGGTCTGCAGCGATTCCTTTTCTTTCACTGGGCCTCAGCTTTCTTTCTCATTTGCCAAATAGGTGGACTCTTCCAGATCCCAACTTCTGGGATAAAGAGATGGGAGAGTTAAAAAAAAAAGTTTATTTGGAACAATATAAATTAGCTTGGATAATCCTAGAAAAATTGGGCATCCTGAAGAATACATCCAGTCTCCCAAATGGAAGTTTCCTTTTTTTTACCCCCTGCTCTCTCGTGATTAAAAAAAAAAAAAAAAAAAAAAAAACTAGTCCCCAAGTCTGATCACTGTGTTTCTTCAGAAGCTTTAAAATCTCCCCTGGCTTTATGCAGAAGGTTAGGGTAAAAACCCATCCATGACCCAGTAGGCAATAACCAGCGTCTTCAAAGATGACTTAAAGTCCCAGTCTTTCCTCCTCACAGGGAAATTCGAGGACAAAGCACTCGTCTTGCACTATTATTAAAGGAAGCAGATCGCCCAGAAAAAAGCACCTTTCTGGGCCTCTCCGACCAAACCAGAAGCAGCTGAATTCTGGCAGCGGTTCAAAGGTGAAGTCATTCATGCCCCTCTCTACATTCTCTGCAATTCCTCCCCCAACCATGTGCATGTCTGCCACTAGATGGCAGCATAGCCCCAGAAAGGAAGGCTCCTCACAAAGAGCTCGGTTCAAGCACCCAGACTTAGACTTCATGCAGGCAGGCCCAAGCCCTGCCAGTAAGGAGAGGAGGGGGCAGGAAAAGGGGGGCCCCCTTTCTAATCCGGGCAGAAAAAGGTGTGCAAACCACCCAAGGTGGACCAGTGGACCAGGGAAGTATGATTCCAGTACTGTTGCAATATGGCCATCTTACACATGAAGCTGTAAGGGGAAAAATATTAGATTTGGTGGGGAAAAGGCTCCCTGGAAGAAAACCAGAGCCAAGACAGGACCCCCTGGGGCTGTAGAGAGGTCACAGTTCCATTGGACCTAAGAAAACAGGCCTCAGACTCCTACAAAAGGCCAAATTTTGACTTTACTCAGAAATCAGTGTGTTGTGATTTAGTGATCAGCCACTATATGTAGGTATCTTGAGACTTTATCAATATCTTGGACATTACCTTTGACCTCCAGATTCTTAGGAGACACCCTGCAACACATTCCTATAATGGAAAAATCAGGCTCTTTTCTCAGAGTTCAGTGTTTGAAAATTTGGAACCTAATTAATATATTATCAGTTAATTAAGATATCACACACACACACACACACACACAACTCAAATGAATTTCACCAACACAAATTTCAATGACGATCTTATTGGTAGATCACAGATGTAGGTTAAGTGCTTTGGCTCATTGACTGGCACATAGTAGGAACACAAAGGATAGCTCGCTCTTATTCAAAGAGACTTATCCGTGTGAAAACTCCAGTGGTGGATTTATTCAGGATCCTAGGAATTTGATTTGGGACTGGTGAATGGAAGGCAGAATGTCAGGCCAGAACAGAGCAAGAAGGAAAGAGTAGAAAGGGAGGCAGGGGACAGTCATTACCAGCAGCTCCTGGGGCTTGATGGAGTTGTCGGTGTAAATGCACAACTTTTCCGCGGTCAGCGGGATGGTTTCTTTGAGCTTGGAGGCCAGAAACATGCAGACAGCACCCAGGAGCTGCAGATGGGTCTTCGGAGTCGGAACCCCAGCCAAGAAACGGTCCAGGTAATTCATGGCCAGAGGGAAGACTTCCTCTTCACACTTCTGTTCCTCACAAACCTATACAGGGAGTGGGCAAGGGTCGGGGGAGAATGAAAATAGTATCAGAAAAAGAGAAAAAGAATGAAAAAGTATCGTCTATGGAATCAACAAAAAGATTAGTTTTTTTTTTATGTAAGAGGGGGAGGGGAGTAAAAAGTGTGATAAGAATAAAGAAGAGAAAACTGGGATAAAATCCGATAGGTCATCCGTGCTTGGATATTCTCATGGAGCCAAAAAAAAAGGGGGCGAATTTAAGAACCAAGACCCGGAGGCAAAGAACAGCTCAGCTGCCGCCCGAGGCTCCACCGCGCTCCCCTTGGCTCCGACTTCTTTGCGCACTCTAACTCACTCACTCTTTTTTGGATTTCGTCATCTTTTCAAAAAATCAATAAAAATATTCTGGAGGCTCCGGGAGTCTCCTTCTTGGTCTCATTCGGATCCCCAGACCCTGCTCTATCATTCCCGACAATTGAAAAAAATGCCCGAGGGGGTCCCTGCGCCCCAGGGGCCGCTATTGGGGGGGTGGGTGGGGAGAGGTGGGGAAGAGCGGGGGAGGGAGGGGAGGAGGAAGAGCGCCGCAGCCGCGGCAGCTGGAGTCGGAGGGGGGGGACGATTTCAAAAAATAATTAAAAATCGAGGAAATATCCTAGAAAAGCCCTTTTGGCGTGAAAACCCCAAAGAGGATCCAGGCTTCCCGAAACGGAGGTTTTGGGTGACAGGAAGGTCTGTATCTCGACCCCTGGGGCTTTGGATCCCGAGGGGAAACTTGAAGGAGTGAAGCCGCGCGGGAGTGTCCGGCTGCGGCCCACAAGGGCAGAGACTAGGAACGTGGTGCCCAGTTGGAGGAAAGACGGGAACACGGAGCCCCGGAAAGAGGCACTGGGGGGCTCTGACCTCTTATTTAGGGGTGCCCCGAAATTCCCCCTATACACACCTCCTCCCTCCCCCCATCCTACCCCACCCAAATCTCCGCACTTCAGAAGCTGGAAAACCAAACTGTAAGTAATCTTTGTGAGTTGGGGACTCGGGGGAGAGGGCAGGACTAGAAGTGGGGTGGTCGGGATAATAGGGTGCTTAAGGGAGCGGGCGACGTTTTCCAGCCTTTCCAACTGGAGTTTGCAAAGCAACATGGCGAAACCACGGCAGGTCCAGAGCTGTGCATACGTGGGCACACAGTTCGCTCGGCAAAGATCCGGAGCGAGGGTTAAGAAGTGGTTCTTTTGGGTTCCCCTAAAACACGCGTTTCTTCAATACGACTTCCGGGGCTCCTGAATTCCCCGTTTCTCTCCTCCTCCCTCCTCCTTTTTCCCTCCCCCTCCCCCCTGAAGTGCCAACGCGGAGTCGCGACCACATGCGGGGACCCGAGGCTAGGACGAATTTGCTCCGACCTTTTGGGGGGCTGCCTTTTATTGTGGGTCGCGATTTTCCCTTCTTCATGGCACTGAAAATAGCCGCCGATCGGCAAAAGACAGGTCGGGATGGGGGTGGGAAGACGAGGAAGCCACATGCAGGCACCAGCGCGCGGGATGTTTCCCCCACCCCCGCCCCAGGACAGCCTCGTTTCTCCTAGATTTTCCTCCCCCTCCCCCTCCCTCGGTTAATCTAGCAAGGAAAAGAGTTGCAGCCACGCGTCTCGCCCAGAGGCGCGGGGTAACCTCACGCACTGTAGCCTGGAGGCCCGCGAGGGGGTTGCCCTCTCCCAGTTTGGGTCCCTGCGTGGGGGGCCAAGAATCCAGGTGGGGCTGTGGCTCCTAATGAGCGTCGCCTGCACACCTACCTCCAGCATCCAGGTAGCCACCATCCTGCGCATGTATGGCTGGATATCCTTCTGCACGCACTTGAAGTAAGAGCACTGAGGAAGGTAGCGCTCNACCTCCAGCATCCAGGTAGCCACCATCCTGCGCATGTATGGCTGGATATCCTTCTGCACGCACTTGAAGTRAGAGCACTGAGGAAGGTAGCGCTCCTCGATGGTGAGCAAATTCTGCAGGRCGCGGTCGTCCAGCAGGTTGCGGTCCGGCACGGCCCTGCGGACAGGGTCCACCTCGCAGCACAGCAGCTCCATGGCCAGCCGAGCGACTCGTTCTCCTGATTTCTCCRACTGGAAAAGTTTTATTTTATTTTGTCGGAGGGGGAGGGGCGTGGGTTCCCCTTACCTCCTTCCTTTGGCAAAATCGGGGGTTTCCGGGGGAAAGATGAGGGCAGAGAGAGAAGCTGGGAGAGAAGAGAGGAAGGGATGGACGGTGGGCGAGCAGAGCCTCAGGGGCTGCCTAACTCGCACCGGTCCTCGCCTTCAAACTCGTCTTGCTCTCCCCAGCTCGCTCTTCTCTGCTCTGAGGCAGTGACGCAAGCTGGCTGGGCAGTTAGGTCTCCTCCCTCTGCCTCGCTCCCCTCTCGGGTTCCTCCTCCCCTTTCCTCCCCTTCCCTGCCCTCCCGTTCCTCCCCCTCCTCCCTCCCTCCCTCCTTTCCCCTCTTGTTATTAAGGAGAACAGCAGCTGGCCCGACCCAACTTCAAACGCGGTCCCCCGCTCCCCCCTCACCCCTCTCCCTAGCTCTCCCGGGCCCTCTCCCTCTATCCAGTCCCGCATGCCAGGGGCCCCGGATAGGGGAACCCACAAAAACCCACTAATTCCTATTTATTCCCTCTAATGTCACACATTCTGTAAGTGTACCAATGCCCAAACGCGACCCTCCAATTTTGGCTTCAAATTTGATCCTAATATTCCGGCCCACGTATTCAAGATCCAGGAATGGAGGGTAATTTTCTTGAAGATGGGGTGAACTCAGACAATTTAGAAATAGATCCCATACGTGAAACATAACGGGGGGGGGGCGATTTTAGAAAATAGCAACCTCTCATACCCAAAGATAAAGGTTATGTCCCTGAAGTTTGTGTTCCTGATAACTTCGAAGCTGTTTCACAAGCCCGGTTAAAGGGACCAGAACAACGTCTCCCTACCCCCCAAGAATGTGTGTGGAGAAGATGAGGATGAAGGAATGAGTATCAGTAAGGGGCTGCTTCTCGGACTTGATAGAATGGGATCCTTGAGCAGAAACCTTCGAGTTCTTGGGGGCACTAGGGCACCATTGGGAGACGCAGCGAGACGCCCAGGGCTGCCGCAGGACGGGGGCAGGGCTCTCAGCGGTTCTTCCGCGGCGGGTGGCCACGCAGGAAAAACCCGCTTCCTCGTCCCTGCATCTGCTGACAAGCCGCCCGAGGTGTCTGCGCAGAGCGTGGCCACACTGATACAGCTTTCTAGGAAATAGCCCGGGAGGGGGAGGGGAAGGCAGGGGAGAGGGGCGAGAGAGGGATTAGGTTTGGCTCCCCGTTGCTCCCCCTGCGCAAACAACGCCACCCCTTCCTTTTCCCGGAGGCTTCAGCCGCCCTTCGGATCCTCGCCCTGCATCCTCGCCGACCCCTCCGGGTTCGCGCCTCTCTTGGCCATCCTGGGCTTTAGATTGAGGTGGAAACGCTGTCAGCGCAGTCGGCCCTGACATGTGCTCTAACGCATCCTGGGGTCAAGGCTGTTTTTACAGGGGACTTAGTGGCATTTCCTCATCTCCTTCCTACCGCCACCCCTCACACTGTCTTTCAGTGTATTCCTTTGGGGAGGAAGGGGCGAAAGCCCAGTGCCCCCAGCGTGTTGGCCGAGCTGGCACGTGCAGTAAGCATGGCGTGGGACTGGGCTTTCCGGGCATTCCGAAGTTGACCGAGTACCTCCTTCGCCGAGAAAGGGGGCCCAAGCAGGGACAAGGCGAGCGCGGGGGGGGGGGGGGGGGGGGGGGGGGGGGGGGGGGGGGCGCTGGGCAGGGTGAGCCGTTTCACTAGGTTCCCTGAAAGGCGGAGCGGGATTGGAAGGGGGAAGGCGGGGAGTGAATCAACCAGAGGTGCAAGCGATTAACTCTGCCCTGGGAGCCAGCCCCTTTAAACGAGGGTGGGGCGGAAGGGGTGGGTGGGTGGGGGGGGATATCGCTTTAAAAGGGTGAGTAAGAGTTTGGGGCGCCGTCTCCCCTCCCTCTATTTGCATAGCCAATAGCTCTGGGGCTCCTGCTACTGCGCGCTGATTGTTACCGGGCAGATTACTTTTTTTTTTTTTTTAGTAGGACGCGTTCCCCGCTACATCAAAAGGAAGCCAAGGGAGGGCGGAGGGAGAGCGGGGACTGGGGCGGGCGAGGGCCGGGGAGAGGCTGGGGCGCCAGCGACCTTATCAATGGCAGCGGGAATTAGTATCCAATCTACTATACGTAAAGAAAGGGGAGGGGAGGGGCGGGCGAGGAAAATGTCTAATTGCTGTGGAAGCCATTAGCTTTCGGAAGAAAAAAAAAAAAAACTCATTGAAAAACCTTAGTTGCAAACTCAAAAGGAAACAGCTCTGCAAGCGGATGACACTCGGGCCGAGTACAGTGTTCATCACGTATTGATTTTAGTCAAGTTGGACTTCCCTACTTAACATTAAATTACACTCGCACTTCTCCTCGGCCACCTTCTAGCGGATCCAAGACAGCTGCTGGGGGAGAAGGGAGTAGCGAGAAGAGTAGGGGGCGGAAAGAGGTGTTTTAAAAGTATAAATCTAACCCGACAGGCAAGAGCAGAAGCCGGCGAGGACTTCAGTCTCTTCACATCACTTGATAACTAACCGAGCAAGGTCTCTTCACCACTAGGGAGACAGCATCCCCAGCTCTGGGTCTCCCGAAGTCGGGGGGGGGGCGGGGCGGGCAAAAGGCGGGTGGTCGACCCGGGGGCTCGCCCACCCGGAGGAGAAAGCCTGGGTGGCGCGTCAGCCCGTCTCTAGAGTGAGCCAAGGGCCCCCTCGCCCCTTCCCTCTCCCCCTCCCCCCCACCCTCTCCTTGCTTTACAGAGAAATTCCAGCGGGGAGGGGGATGGTGGGGGTGGGGTAGAGGTGGCCGGCGTAGGGGAGGGGCGGAGAGGGTCGCGGGCGGATGCCCCAGCTTCCCTGTGGCCCTCTTCATTCATGGAGACCTGCAAGTTCGGGTGCTTTCCTCGTGGCAGGCTCTCTTCTCTTAAGTTCCCCCATTCACTTCCCCTTCCTATTACAGACTGTTCCCGAACGTGAACCTCGCTCGCATCGAATCAGTCCCCTGGTCGTTTTTCAGTCTCCAACACGTGGGGTGGGGCGTGAGAGGGTGCGGAGGTTGGCAGGATGTCTCCAGGAGGCTAGGACTGGAAACTGAGTTCTCCCTTTTGGTCGCTACTCCGACCATGTTTAAGTTAAAACCTTAATTTCATTTAAAATCCCTCCACCTAGCMCGGGGGGAAAGCACGTTGCCCCCGGGAAACGTGCGCATTTTCTTTTAATGTAGACTTAGGTGTGCAGAAAAAGTGCAARCGTGCTCTGGTCATTTTGGAGGTAAAAAGGTTCTTCCTTATCACCTTTTCACCCTCATGGGGGGGGGGGAATCCTGTCCTTTGTAGGATCGGTGATAAACTTGAGGAACGCAAGTTTTATTGGACTTTTATTCCCTCCCGGGCCGGCTCCCCCCCCCCCCCGCCCGCCACCACTCCTTGGGTTTTGCAGTTTCGGTTGGAGAGTGTACAAAACCCTGTAGGTGTAGGGTGCAGCCGGGTGTTGGGTGTTTATAGGCGCATTTCTGCAGGAACCTGCAACGCTAAGCACACATTCTCTCAAGCTCACCTGGCAGATGCCGGCCAGCCAGGTGATACTGCGACCGGCTCAAAACTGGAAAGCCTCGAGGGTTCGAGCCCCGCCGCCTGGGTGCAGGGGCACTCAAGCAGGGTGGGGGAAGGGGACGGGATTTCAGGCTCAGGAATGGGGGCCATCACCCTCCCTCCCAAGTCCCCCAAAGAATAGGGCTATATTTACATTTCTCCAAGTTGGGATGGATGGTCAGCCCATCAAAAGTGAAAACCCGACGGTAATTTTAAAGTAGATTAAGTGAGAAAAGGCACAGAAAGGTGGGTTGGCAGAAATGTAGAAAAAAATGTGAGAAATGATAAGAGGGAAAAGTCGGAAAGTGTATAGCACGAGGAAAGAGGGTTGGTGGATGGGATTGGGATTCTAGAGTCCCTGACGCCTAGGAGAGGATTCCGGGTGTGAAAGTGCCTGCGGGTTCCTCTCCTCTAGGCAACCGCCCCCGCGGCATTGGGGCGCAGGGGACCTGGCGGGGCGGAGCCCGTCCGGCCTGTGTCCCAACTGCCTTTCGGTACATCTCAGCCTGGACCGGGGCTGGATTCCCAAGGCAGCAGATGCGAGAGGCGAGGGTGAAGAAGGCTAGCGCCTGCCGTCTATTCACCTACCTAGCACCCCTCCCTTGGAAAGTTAAAAAAAAAAAAAAATTAAAGACCCGAACTTCCCCCTCTTCCTGTCTGATTCAGCTTCAGGACACGCCTCACACGGCCGAAAATAGCACTGGAAATGCAATTGCTTTATAAAAGCCAATTTTCCAATGAAAATTGGGGTGGGGGCGTCTGGCTCGCGGCGTCGGGGGGGCTTTTGCCTCCCGGGAGGAAAAGGAACCAGCCGTCACGGTCCTTCTCCCTCCCCTAGGCGCCCCTGGGAGGGGACCGCTGGGCGGCGGAATCGCGCCTCTGCTTGGGGAGCCACCACGCGGCTTTTTCGCGGAATTTTGACGTCACCCACACGTGGGGGAAGGGGCTGGGAGAGCAAGAGGAAGCGGCGGGGGAGGGGCCGGCACCCTCGCGGTGGGCGCAGCGGCCGCGGGCAACGTTGCCGCCCCCCGCCAGCTCGCGGAGAGCTGGGGATTCGGCTCTCTTGTCGGCCGGGGCCAGCGTTGCGCCTCTCCTGTTCAGCCTCCCTTCCCATGCCCCCGCCATCTTCTACCCCAGGCACTTGATTTTTTTTTTTTTTTTTTTTTTAACTTTGAAATCGGGAGCAGCTCTTTGCTCCGGAAAAAGCTGATTTCTTTGGGTTGTGGTCCAGTTCCGCTTGATGCTGAGACTGAATATCGCGATTGCTCGTCGCGACGCCCGCCGCTTGGCTCTCGGTTCGCTCTCCACCGAGGGAGACATGCATGTGTTTTTCTGTTCCTTAGGGAGTGACTTCTGTATTTATTCTCACACCCAGAGTTTTCACGTGCGACATAGTCCTCCCTGCCCCCCCCACCCCTTTCACTATTTAAATATCATCTGGGTTTGTTAATACTATGATAATGACATGCAAGAGCTTGCGAGGATGTATGCGAACAATATTGCACGAATTTTGCTGCATTCAGAGCAAGTCGATCTAGAAACACCTTGGTCAAAAGAGTTCTACAAATAGATGGGCAGAGTGTGGGCGACTCCCCCTCCCGCTCGCTGGATACCCTTGTG